GGCAGCTCTTCATGTATTCCTTCCTCTGAGTCTTTTAAACACTTACCTTCTTTTTGGTATACTCCTACTAAATATGGTATTTAGTATTATTTATATGAAGTGGAACGTGTATTCTACAAGCGTCCAGAAAGTACGATGTCCGAGTACAGAAAAGAATCATGATCCCGGACTAAAGGATCCGGGTCTGGGTCATAAAATGTTACAAATAATCAGTATTTATACAGTTAGATTGAATAGGAAACAACATTCAAGTATTTGACATCGACAGTTAAGACGACCAATAGAATAAGACTCACAAATAATTATCTTAGGATATTGGATAATTATGCTAACGCCTCCCTCTGAAGAAATGAAAGCGACACAACCGAAGGTTTTATTTGCATCTGGACTGTTGTTCACCGCTGTCGGAGAAGATATTTTCTGGAACGTAGATCAGGTCCAGTCTTGGGTACTTCTGAGTGGTTTGGCTTCTCCTTATATGGTTGACGGGACATCTGCTAATGTTAGCTGTTTGAACCGAGTAATTTTAATTTGGCTATCGGATTGAGCTGAAGTGAGGTGAACTGGGTGTAGCAGGAGGCACATCTACTCTAGTTAGTTGACAGTTGCACTATACGAACATCAGATTGACTCGATCCACCATAGTCGTGTTACATGATGCAGCTTAGTATCCATCAACATCTTCATAAGTTCAGCTGCTGATTGGGTAATAATTCAGGTTTCGAAGGATCACTGTGACCTAATTCCCATCGCCAATTGTTATGCTCGTCACTTACGAGTTCACCTTAGTCGATAAACGAGGATAAGACAATGAACAAGTGGCACAATGGGCTACTCTGAATCTTGATATGGCGTAGAAAGTGTATTTTACAAGCTTCCAGAAAATACAATCATCTCAAGCACACAAATAGCGTTTATTTATACATCATAGAAACGTCCTTGGGAGAGTTACAAAAATAGCGTACTAAAATAACACAGTAACCAATCACAACCAAGGCTTTTCCTGGTGGGAAATGTGATCTCAAGGTCAACTGATCAGCTGATTAATAAAATCAAAAATTAAGGCATTTATCAACTGAGTTCTGGGGATATAACGTCCCCAACAGTAGCGTCTAGGGATGCGAAATTAAATTAAGGCGCCAGTTTAAATTGCTTAGTTAACGTAAATTCACATAAGATATAGGTAAATGCTGATGATGAGTGCCAACTAAAATGAAACCCACATTAAGCAGGATCTTCTGATCGACCATTCATTACAAAAATATTATTATTGATTCGTTCCTAGTTGCATCCTTTCAATTCGCCAATTTCTTACTTACTTACGCCTGTTACCCCGATGGAGCATAGACCGCCCACCAGTTTTCTCCAACCAACTCTGTCCTGGGCTTCCATTTCTAGTTCTTTCCAGTTTTTGTTCATACTTCTCATATCTTTCTTTCTCTATTTCTCGGCGTAATGTTTTCCTTGGCCTTCCTCCTTTCCTTTGACCGTGAGGGTTCCGTTTGAGGGCTTGTCTCGTGACGCAGTTTGGTGCTTCTCGTAGTGTGTGTCTTATCCACTTCCAGCAGTGCTTCTTCCTGATTTCCTCCTCCACTGGAATCTGGTTTGTTTTCTCCCACAGTACGTTGTTGCTGATGGTGTCTGGCCAACGAATCCGAAGTATTTTGCGTAGAAAACTGTTAATAAACACTTGTATCTTCTGTATGATGGCTTTCGTAGTTCCCCAAGTTTCCGCTACATACAGTAGAACTGTCTTGACATTTGTATTGAAAATCAAAATTTTGGTTTTGGTTGAAAGTTGTTTGGAGTTCCATATATTTTTCAAATGTAGAAATGGAGCCCTTGCTTTGCCAATCCGCGCCCTCACATCTACATCGGATCCACTCTGGTTGTCGATGATGCTGCCTAGATATGTGAAGGTGTTAACGTCCTCCAAAGCATCTCCATGAAGAGTGATTTGATTTGTGCATGTTGTGTTGCATCGGAAAATTTTGCTCTTTCCTTTATGTATGTTGAGACCTACTACTGCAGAGGCTACTGCTACACTGGTCGTCTTCTCTTGCATTTGTTGTTGAGTGTGCGATAGAAGAGCCAAGTCATCTGCGAAGTCCAGATTGTCCAGCTGCGTCCTAACTGTCCAGTTGATACCGTGCTTCCCTCCAGATATCGACGTCTTCATAATCCAGTCGATCACCAGGAGAAAGAGATAGCCAATTTCACTCTTGGTTATATACAAATATATATATATATATATATATAAACGTATGAGACAGAAATACATTCTGTGATTGTTCACTGAAGGAATGCCTTCGTTTTTCTTTCGTTGAGGAAAATCATACAATATTTGTATACATTGTCTTCAATTGTTTGTCTAATATTGTAATTGATATTGATATACTGTGCAGAAGTAGTAGTAGTAGTATCGTAGTGAAGGAGAACACAGGTGAGAGCAACCGAATTGTATTTATCGCAAATTACAGAGTTAATTGGTAAAATAGAAAAAACCATATCGTAAATCGTTAATTTGTAAAACATCAATCCATTGTCTGACATTTTACTATTCATGCGTTTCATACAAATTCCATTGTGTTCCCACTCTTCTTCTTTTCTTGATCTTCCCCCATCTTCTGCTGCCAGACATTACGTTTACACTCACGTCATATACTACTTATAAGTCGCGCGCACCACAAGCCAATTTCAGCTGGGCGAACTAATCTAAACCAAGTAGATTTAGATCAGTTGGAGTTATATAACATACCTCAGTAATTTGTTCAAGAATTGTTTTATCAATGAGGCGAATATCATCTAGTGTTATGTAAATTAATAAAATTTAGTGGTTTTTTTTTATGTTTTTATGCGTTGCCATTCTTTCATTTATTCCTCATAGGCTTCAACTGGTCGACATGTTAATTTCTCAGGTGATACAGAAATCAATTCTTCTTCTATATACGATGATAATAATCCACGACGATCAACGTATAATTCAAGTGTACGATCAGTAGAACATAGTAAGTTGGGGCGGGGGTTGGGTTGTTTTGAATTATTTGAAGTGATTTATGGGGAAATTAATGTGCGTTAGACATTTGAATTCCTTATGACGTTCATCTTTCTCTGCCACAAGTTTATTTCACTAGATTATACTGCTTGGGTATATATATATATATATATATATATTGAAATGGTGGAGAAAACTTGTAGCTCAGGTGGATGATTGTGGTGGTGTTTCGTTCTCTGAGCTCAGAGAACCCTAATCTTTCCGATTTCTGCTCATACTTGTACTATCTCAACTACTATGGGATTTGAATAGACAATCGCATCTCTGTACTGTCGTGATATGACAACTTGAACTGATGTGTGTACGTACGAACGTACGAAGTTTTCGGCTATGGCTGACTGACTATTACACATTTTGCAGCATAGCATTCAACATAATGATTATATATATATATAAGCAGTTTAAAGTAATATTTATCTTCTAAAGTAGTAAACTGAACAGAACTCATATTACAAAAATCATAAATCAGATATTTTGGGTGTAGGCACTAACCATCGTAGACAGTGGGCGAGGTTGCGCAAAATCCTCAGATTGATCAAAGTTAGACATTACCACTGTTGAATGTCAACAAGCACAATGGTCTAGAGGTTTAGCGTTCGCCGGCGCGAGACTGAAGGTCCCTGTTCGAATCGTAAGAGTAGTAAGAGTCATGGATGCTCACTCTTGAATATTCCTGTACTAGGAAAAAACGGTCTTTCAGTGCTTCCAGGTTTCTTTCTAATGGATGTCTAACAATAATTAATTAATGATTTGAAATTAGATCAGATAATAATAATAATAATAATCCAGTTAGTTAAAACAATTTGGATAAATAAACATATTGCTCATCGTATGAGCTGTTCTGTTTTTAATGCACCAATGTCCCGAACGTAGCTGCTACCTTGACGTGGTGGTCGGGTTTGCCTATCGTGATGACCCAACCGAGCTATATTGGCTGGAACATATAATCCTGAAGGTTCTACCATGCCAGGCAGGTCGATTGGAGAACGATGGGACGAAAAGCAGCTACTCAAGGTCTGAGGGCGAAGTCGTACTACTGACTGTAGAAGGGTGTGTGACATCAAGGAAAGAAGGGTCAGAAAAGGTCGACCCTAAAAATGTCACACCCCACGGATTTTTGTCTCTGGTGGTAAGTGGGCCCACTAAGGGCTTTTAAGAGCGGACCTAACACTCAAAAAACTTATCATAAAAAGGCTGTGCGTGACCGGCCTCAAGCAGTTGTCCCTTGGACTCCGCGGTCAAGCTCACAGGTCTCTAAGACCAACACTAATCTGCCTTCATTTTCAGGTCCCTCAAGAAACAACCTTCCACGTTGTGGGCAGCCGGAAAGTGACAACCGCCCTCATGCCCGTAACAGTGCACGAGACCAAACTGGTCAAAATCAAATCCTTCTGTCTAATTCACCAATGTCGTCACATTAAGTCCCGACCGTAGCTGCTACCTTGACGTGGTGGTCGGGCTTGCCTATCGTGATGACCCAACCGAGCTATACTGGCTGGAACATATGTTCCTCAAGGTTCTACCATGCCAGACAGGTCGATTGGAGAACGATGAGACTAAAAGCAGCTACTCTAGGCCTGAGGGCGAAGTCGTACTGCTGACTGCAGAGGGGTGTGACAGCAGTAAGGTGTTTACCTCGGACAACCAGCATCTGCAGCGATACTGCCTTCTCACAAGGAAGGAAGTGTTAGAAAAGGTCGGCCCTAAAAATGTCACACCTCCCCTACCTCACGGATTTCCGTCTCCTTGGGTAAGGGTGCCCACTAAGGGCCTTTAAGAACGGAGCTAATCCTCAAAAAACATTTCTTAAAAAGGCCGTGCGTGACCGGCCTCAAGCAGTTGTCCCTTGGGCTCTGCGGTCACGCACAAACACTAATTTATCTTCCTTTTCAGGTCCCTCAAGAAACAACCTTCCACGGTGTGGGCAGCCGGGAAGTGACAACCGCCCTCATACCCATAACAGCACGCGAGACCAAATTGGTCGAAATCAAATCCTTCCCACACCCCCTAGTACCTCTCTTATCTCCACGGCTAACTCTTCTCACATTCATTCATCACAATGCACAGCTAATGCAGACGATACGAGTTCGCGAAACGTCGTTCCTGGTCTCCTTAAACCTCGCTCTAGACTACATGTTGGAGCATTTAATGTATGGACATTGTGTCAAATAGGGCAACAGGCTTCCTTAGCTAGGACTTTAGAATCTCGTGCCATCGATGTATGCTGCGTCTCGGGAACGCGCATACAGGATTCTAGTAAAATTATTAATCTGATTTCACCTTGTCAAAAAGAAGCAGCTCGATTTACTCTTCGTGTATCCGGTAGCCCTGATGCTGCTTCCCGGGGTCTTGCTGGCGTAGGCATAGCATTGAGTCGTAGAGCTGAACAATCTCTCCTTGACTGGATCCCAGTAGATAGTCGTTTGTGCGCTGTCCGACTAAACGGGACAGTAAGGACTCGGAAAGATAGGGACACTCGCCGTTGCCTCTTCATCGTATCTGCCTATGCCCCCACTGAATGCAGTTCAGACGAGGTTAAAGATGAGTTTTACAGAAAGCTTTCGGACCTCCTCCAAAAAGCTAGGCGCTCTGATATAGTAATAATGGCTGGTGACTTTAATGCTCAAGTAGGTAGACTAAGTGAGCAGGAGAGACACCTAGGTGGGTGTTATGGTGTTGCGGCTCAGAGAACAGACAATGGTGACCGTCTGTTGCAAGCATGCTCAGACAACCGCCTATTCTTAGCAAACACTAACTTTAGGCATAAGGAAAAGCATCTGTTGACCTGGCGACCTCCAAAGTCGTTTCAACGTTGGACTCAACTAGATCACATCGCCATCAGCCACCGATGGAGGGGTTCGATAGAGGACTGACACGCTCGTTCTGGAGCACATGTCTAGATTCAGATCATGCCCTAGTGCGAGCGTGTATTTGTTTGAAGCTTACTGGGCGTAGGAAAGACACCGTAAGAAAGCCTCTTAGGGTTTTACTTAATGATAATGAGGCGAAAAATATATTTCAGGAACAACTAGAAAGACAGTTAGGCGACCATTTAAGCGATTCCCATCCGGAAGCAGGATGGAATGATATCAAAAAGGCTGTGGAAACAGCAGTGATATCTGCTAGTGAGGTTGACCATAAGGCTAGAATAAAACCGTGGATCTCAGCAGCATCCACCGATCTGATGGATGCCCGAAAACTCATCCCACCTGGCTCTGAAGAACGAAGTCAACTTAGGCGCAGACTTATAAAAAGCCTACGTAATGATCGCGAACAGTGGTGGGTGGCGACAGCAAAAGCGATGGAAAAGGCAGCGGCAATCGGCAACAATAGACAACTTTTCGGACTTATCAAAGAAACTGGTATTAGGAATCCTAGTGTAAGTCAGACTATCTCAGAAAATGACGGGACTATTATTTATTCTCAATCCAGGAGACTGGATCGATGGGCAGAACACTTTAGGGATCAGTTCAACTGGCCTCGAGTCACTCTTCAGTTACCCACGATCTCCAGTCATCCTGAATGGCGAATCGACGTAAGTCCCCCTAGTCTTAATGAAGTTGAAAAAGCGTTAGGAAATCTGGAGCGAGGACGAGCTGCAGGTCCTGATAGACTGACCCCTGAGATATTTAAGGATGGTGGTCCAGTTTTAGCAGCTAGATTGACTGTGATCTTAGGTAGAATCTGGGAACTGGACGTAATCCCATCCGACTGGTCCCAGTCATTTAGAATATGCCGATGACATAGTCCTACTTGGTGAAGACGCTGACAAAATGCAGAGTCTTCTGACTACCCTAAGCAACAATGCAAGCATGTTCGGGATGCGGTTTTCCCCCTCGAAATGCAAAATTTTGCTTCAAGATTGGGTTGCATCGGCACCTGAACTAGTCTTAGGGAGTGAAGTGGTCGAACGTGTAGACCGCTTCACTTATCTTGGGAGTCTCATCAGTGCTGATGGCCTGATGACTGACGAAATCTCGGCACGGATACAGAAAGCTCGATTGGCTTTTGCCAACCTGCGTCACTTATGACGTAGGCGAGATATCCGTTTGCTGACTAAAGGACGAGTGTACTGCGCAGTGGTTCGCTCCGTCTTACTTTATGGCTGTGAAACATGGCCAATGAGAGTAGAAGATACTCGTCGGTTATTGGTTTTCGATCATAGATGTTTAAGAAGCATTGCTCGTATATCGTGGGACAACCGAGTGAGCAACGCTGTTATTAGGGAACGGGTACTAGGTAAGAATGGCAGATCAATCGATGAAGTGCTGAAACTTCATCAGTTGAGGTGGTTGGGACATGTGCTGCATATGCCTAACCACCGACTGCCGACTTTTTTGTAGTGTAGGAGTAGGTTGGAAGAAAGTTAGGGGCAGTCAGACTAAAACATGGCAGAAATCCATGAAGTCATTGACGAGTGGACTTAGCCATGTCGGTAATTGTCGACTACCTGGTTGGGGTCCGCGAGATGTTAATAATCGATAGCTAGAGACCTTGAATGACATGGCTCAAAATCGTTCGCGATGGTGCCGGTGCATTTATTCTTTGTGTTCTCTCAAATGCTAATCGTCTGGATTCTTCAACCCCTCTAGTTTCGACTCTCTAAACGTTTCTCACTGAATCATACTTCGTGAATAATATCTTCTAATGCTAATCTCTCCGATTACTTCTAATTCCTTTACTACCTCTTCTACTGTTGGATTTGAATTGACAATTATATCTCTGTACTGATGTGGTATGGCGACATGAACTGATGTACTTACGTACAAAGTTCTACGTTGCAACTGACTGACTGACTGACTGTCACATTAAGTGATTGATTTTATCTCATAACGTTTGATCAAATCTAATTCAATTATATAAGAAGATAATTGTTCACTATATTCAAGTGAATTGATTTTAGAAATTCACTAATCAATGAACTTTGTCTCACTAATACAAGTTGTAGTAAAGCTTCTGTGTTCGATTTCCAGCATTGAGTATGTTGTATATGCTCATTATTGAGTAATCCTTATGCTGGGAAT